CGACAGTTCTGTCTGTTGACATGCCCATTTAAGTGAAAATGAGCTTACCGAAAACAGAATATTCTTCCGAGTTGGAAAGCGCTTCAACATTGTTTGAGCAAAAATACGGCGTAGGTTATGGTCATTGGGTTTCAACTCCTACATTAATTGAATTTTGTATGGATGCAGTTTTAGACCTTTTACCAAAATTCGACGTAGGGATGTTCTTGATATGGCATGCTCTGCCGATCTCTTTCGCGTCGTAGGGAAGTCCTAACTTTGTTAACTGTTTCCTCTGTGCGTATTGACCTTGGGCGTCCTGCAGGCTTCTGATTAAGTGTGGAACCCCTAGCTTCGAACTTTCCGATCCACGATCTAATCACACTTTCACTGGGACACTGATTTAAGTCATTTAATCCGTACTTGGCACGAAATAAACGCCGCACAACAGTACACGAGTCGCCATTTTTATAATAATGCTTTACGCAGAACGCACGTTGCGACTGAATTTCCGAACACCGAGCTAGTCACCCCCACTACTGGCGCCTCGCTAACCAGTGCCGTTTGGATTCAGTGGCGTTCTTAAAATCGTACGTCTTTCTGGTCCACCCTGTACTTGTATAATACTTATATTGTTAAATAGTCATAGAAACAATTATTTTTTAATTTCTTTTAACAATTCACATCTAGTTAGTAAAACAATAGCTATTTATTAATAAACGATCATTAAAACGGTCGTACATAAAATTTTATATATTTGTTAATAGATTATCATTAAAAGGGTTATGTTACTATTATAACCTGTTTTTCATATATGTGCTGCTTTTGTATTTTTATTCTTATAGTTTGTATATATTTTTTCTTTGACTTGCTATAAACAAGTAATTCAAATGTAAAATGGTCAAATATATCTCTTTCTATTTGACCTTGTCCTGAGTACAGCCAAATTGGTGATTTGGTGGCTGGTTTTCAACAGGGGGTATTTCGTGGCAAAATATACTGTCATCCTTTTAAGAACTTTTAATTATAGGACCACACCACCTTTGACTAGAGCATCCACGGTTAATATACCAATTGTCGCTAGGACAATTTATTGTGGACCACCTCGTAACATGCTATTCATTGGCTAATTGAATTATTTAGCCAAAGCCTTCGAATCTTATGTTACAAAATAATCAAAACACAATACATGACAAAATAACCCACTTTCTTGAAAACTAAATATGTATAATGAGCAATATACAGGGTGGTCCATATTTGTGGAATATATTAATTATTGGCTTTATTATTACATTTTGAAAAAAATCCTTGAACAGGTCGATTTTTATTTCTAAAATGACATTTTCTGAACAAAATTATTTATCTCCCCCTTCAACCCCTTCGGAGTAAAAGTCACCTCTTTAATTTTTTTAAATAGAAAGGGGTAACGTGTGATACATCATTTTAAAGGGTTTTTAATTCCCTATTCAGCAGTATAAGATTTTTGTTTTTTGTACATTTATATTTAAGAACATCAATTTTTATTTTTAACTATTCTATTAATAATACTACAATTTTATGGTATTAAATGTTCAAAATTACTGCCGTTAACTTCTTGACAATAACCAATGCGGTTATTAAATTCTTGAAGAACATCTTGTATGACGTCCGGGCCAATTTTTTCAATTTCTTCGGTGATTCTTTCTTTTAATTCGTCAATAGTCTCCGGTCGATTTAAATACACTTGAGACTTTAAGTGGCCCCAGAGAAAATAATCAAGCGGCGTTAAATCGGGAGATCGAGGTGGCCATTCAATGCATGGCTCCACGCCTGCCAATCTATCTGTTAGGAAATACTTTATCCAAGTAGTCTCTCACTTCACGTGCAAAATGTGGTGGAGCACCATCTTGTTGGAACCAAACATTTCTATCTGTTTCATCTGGATTGTTATTATCAGGATACAGAACTTGTAATTGAGGTACCAAAAAATTTGTGAAAAAATACAAATATCCTTCACCTGTCAGAGAGTCATCAAAAAAGTAAGGCCCAATGATTTTATTTTCAATAATACCACACCACACATTCACTTTTTTAGGAAACTGAGTGTGAGTCTCCATTATCCAATGAGGATTTTCTCTGTTCCAATAACGATAATTGTGTCGGTTGACAGTACCATTTAAGTAAAACGTTCATCCGAAAAAAGTATTTTCTGTAAAAACTGCACATCTGCCTGACATCTGTTCATTATTTGTTCACAGAAATGTAGCCTTCGGTCTGGATCGTCCTCAGATAACTCCTGTACCAAATGAATTTTATTGGGATGGTACTTTTCTTTGTGTAAAAAACGCAAAATTGTTGTTTTACTGACGTTGTGTTCGGCAGCAAGTTGTCTAGTAGATTTATGCGGATTTTCTTCAAGGGCTATCATAACATTTAATCGTTTATCCTCATCAACTACAGGGATTCTTCCTGCGTTACGAACTTGCTTCACAGGCCCAGTACTACCAAATTTCTTTGCTAACTGTAGACTGTGAAATATTATGTCCTGGATATTTATTATTAAATAATTCACATACCTCCCTATGCGTTCGCCATAACGACTGTTCATAAAATTGAACTAATTAAATAATATAAATTATAATCGTCAATTGTAAATAAATGTTCCTTGCTTATTCCCTTGTAGCAGAATAGCAAAAGTTTTTCATAAAAAGCTCTGTTTAACTTTTTATTGCCATTTTTTTACATGGTCTAAGATAAGAAATATTATTAATAGAATAGTTCAGGGGCTGGTTAAAAGCTTTAAAAATCAAAATTGATGTTTCTTGAATATAAATGTACAAAAACAAAAAATCTTATACTGCTGAATAGGGAATTAAAACCCCTTTAAAATGAGGTATCACACGCTACCCCTTTCTATTTAAAAAAATTAAAGGGGTGACTTTTACTCCGAAGGGGTTAAAGGGGGAGATAAATAATGTTGTTCAGAAAATGTCATTTTAGAAATAAAAATCGTCCTGTCCATGAATTTTCCTCAAAACGTAATAATAAAGCCAATAATTAATATATTCCACAAATATGGACCACCCTGTATACACACTATAAGTCGTTGAGAATAAATTAATAGAGAGTTGAAGCGTTTCCAGTACGTTAACGTAAACGAGAACGCAGAAAAATAATTTTTACATTGCTGTACAAAATAGGAGTTGAAGTTGTTAAACGCATCGTGACATTTACGTATCATGACAAATAATGACAATTAATGACATATTATATTGGGATTTCTACTTTTCCAATTAAAAAGAGGTTATTTTGTTTGCTATACGTGTATACGCCGGGGCCCAATTCCTGACGCCTTCGTTAACTTATCGCATGCGATAACGTATGCGACTTGATGAAAGTGTATTCCTGAACTGGCAGCATTCGTCAAATTTATTAACGTATGCGCTAAGAAATGATGATTTTCAAAGAGCGCTCATGACCGTTCCACAACTACTTTGTCGCATTCGTTTAGGTGAAAGTAAGGTTATAATTGTCAATTAATCCTGCTTTATCATATGTGATTCGTGTTTCTATCTATTGGTTTTGTTTTGTGATTTATTATTGGGAAATATTTATTTTTAATTTGACTCTATTGAACATTTTATTAGAATATAAAAATGAAACTTTTTGTACCGTGAACTCGTTTATTGGACGTTTAGGTGCCACTTTATTTTGGTTTATTTTATTTAGTATGGATGATATAGAAGAAATATGAGTTTTACAGGCACTAAACAATGTTATAAATTCTACTAAAGTTTCACGCAATTTTTCCGTTATTCGTGAACCACGCTGTTCCATTTTTAATATTCTAAATCTAAACCACTCCAATTCTCAAGTCCAAAATACAAATAATCACAGTTAAAACGTCTAAAAACCAAAAATTATTAGACATCCAATCCATTTAATTTTATAATTTTTAGCAATTTTGACATGTGTCAATGCAATTATCTCATATTCAGTGATACCATCTTTGGTATTCTCAATCCTCATTGGTTAAGACTATGCAATAATCAAAGACTCTTCGTTAACACGTTCGACTTGATTCGCGATTATCGCATGGTGTTCAGGAATACTAAATTGCTGTCGTATGCGTTAACGACCATGCGTTACTTAGCGCATGCGGCAGTTAACGCATGTTTCGAGAATTGGGCCCCTCTGAGCCCGTAAGTTTACGTATGTACGTAGACCTAAACGTGAAGGATATTTTAATAGGCATGCGCAGATGTCAAATTTCACGTTTACGTTCATAACATCACTTCAACTCTCTAATATTATTTGCTATATGCCAATGAAATGAAGTTATGCATATGCAACTAACAATACAAGAAAATATTATTGGTTGCATAGATGTAGACATGGGTAACGCACTAAAATTCTTTGCGTTGATACACTAACTCCGGCGCACTCTATTGCGCCAACTCATTGCGTTATTACGTCACACCACTGCCTGCGCCGAATGAAGTCGATGCACCTCGGTGTATCGCATGATACCGGTGTTATTCAGCGCAGCTGTCTTTTTATAAGGGTCAAACCGTGTTCAAGACAATAACGCAATTGGGAATTTAACTAATTTTTTTTTTATTATATGTTTAAAAATAAACGAAAATATAACAGTGTAATGCACCCACTTTGTTATTTCATTGTGTTCGGATTTTACAAAGAATACAAAAATTCCAATTTATATAAAAAGGATATAACTTTTGTATACTAGTAGCCAATCAAAATGGGAAGAACTAAAAACTGACAGTGTACAAGGTTAAAATCCATAAAATTGGACCTACAATCCTACAAATGATGTGTCCTGTTGCAAAGAACATAATTACTTGATAGATTTTGGGTAATCTGCATTACAAGTTGCATCAATTACGTAAATTAAAATTCTCAACTCGTCACGGAAAACGGAATCAGTGCCGGGCGCATGACGCATCAACAACTCGCGATCCTTTCGACTCAGTATCGAAAATTGCGTTGCGCTGTTACAGTAACAGCTGGTGTATCAACGCTCGTAACGCATACAACTGCGTTAACGCAATAACGCAACGCAGCGCTGCGTTACCCATGTCTACATAGATGTCAGTAGTATCGTACCAAAATACAATTTTATAAATAATCTAGTTAAAATTAGAAAAATATTACGAAATGCCTTATGTATCTTGTCCATTTTGCGTGATCTCGCTGTGCTCGTCCCTCAACGATTCACTCATCACATAAAATAAGGCATTTCGTAACTGATTGCAGAGCTATTATTAAAAAAAAACTGAAAAAGCTCTGTAAATTCTGTTTATTTTTGTTCTTGCAGTTCCGAACTTTTATAAAATATCACATTTTAAAGATTTGAGTAATGATCAATAAAATGCCCTTAAATGACAAATATAACACCTCAAATTCAATTGTTCAATGCCCTCATTTGTCATCTATTTTTCCTGTTTCTTTTTCTATTTTCTCTTTAGTGTTATCCATATCTAGATTAATAATTTCCTTTGTACTGGATTTTAACATAAAAACTACAGGCACTTGGCCCAAATTAGGAAAACCATCTTTTTCAAGATGTCTAATCCAAGATAACAAACTATCTTTGCTAGAAGTCCCAGTAGCACACACTGAAAATATCACACCATCTTCTTGTTCATGAACAGAAGGAATTACTTTAACATGTTTCGCGACAGGGGGTTTGAGAGAGAAAAGAGACACTTTCAAATTGCTGACATCATCTGGATCTTTATCTTCTTCTATTACTGGTTTTGGCTCACCTCTAAGAATAAAGTAATTTATTGGGTTTCCTTTTATCCATATTGTGAAAGGTCCTAAAAAATATTCAATAATTAAACTTTTATTTTAGCCCTATTAGGTACACACAAAAATCTCTCATTTAATTATTTCAAGATTAATCATCATTAACCAAAAAATAAAAGTACCTTCAACATAAATAGGATCTTTTAATTTATGTTGACCAAGCAGCATTCGTTGAGATTTGCTTTGAGCACTAACTATCCATGTTTTATCTATGGATTCAGGAATATCCTCACTTTGATAAACAGTCACTACAGAATTCACATCTACACTACTTATTCTCTCAATTGCATATTTTGCTAAATCAAATGTATCTTTAGGCAGTGGATCAGGTACAGGCCAGGGTGATAAGTTTTTGAATTTTGGCATCCAATACATCATCCTCCAGTATCTTCGAACTGGGAAGCCTCTGTTTCCAAATATATTCAGTAGCAGAGGCTCCATTTCAATATCTGGCATTACTCCGTTATCTTCCATTTGCTCCAAAAGATCTATTATACATTGCTGCTGTTTAGGATAATGCATAAATTCAGCTTGAATGATATTTGTTGGAACAAACTTTCCTAAAAGAAATATATGGTGTTTTATAAAATACAGGTGGGACCTGATATGTACATGTCGTGTCACAGACCTGGATCTCAACAACAGCACCATCTACCAAGTCCAACTATAGATAAATAGATAGATAGATAGATACTTTATTGTTTTAAAATATAAAATTTTATAAACAAAGTCTAAGTTCTTATATTACTAATAGGTATTTACACAATTTAAAATTAAAATAAGAATATAAAATTAGGTATTTACACAATTTAAAATTAAAATATAAAAATGTAATTAAAATAAAATAAAATTTGTAAATATTACAGTACACATAAAGTTTTAGTTAAAATTATCATTATAAAATTCTTCAATAGAATAATAAGTTTTTTTTAGCATAATTTTTTTCACACTTCCATAGAATACTTTATAATTTGTAATTTTTCTTATTGCCAAGGGTAAATGATTAAACATTTTTCTTCCGTTGTATATTTTTCTGTGCCATCTAGAGTATTAATACATTCTCTCAACCTTTTCATAGAACAAATTATGGTTCTCACTCTTTTATTCCTAGAGCAACAAGATCTGCTAACAGACTAAATGTAGAATGGATTACTTCTCCATCAGATTTTTCTATCCATTTATGTATATGTGAGGAGTAATTTTTAATTGTTTTTAATATTTATGTATTTAAATTAATTTATTATTATTATTTAGGATTTTATTACTATTTAATGTATGTAATATGTATTATCTGTAATTGTATTGTTTTAATGGGCTCTGACCCGTAAATAAATAAATAAATAAATAAATATAATAGAGTTCCTTATTAATGCGGATGATGGGATCAGTAGATAAAGGTAGTACGATTGCCTTGTATTGTATGTTGAAGTTATAATTATTTCTTCCTTAAACTTTTTATGAATAAGAGCTGTCGTCTCTAATATAAACAGGCTGGCTACTGTTAAAATTTTATATTTATAAAATAAGGGTTTACAAGAAGCATAATTATTAAGTTTACACATGTACCTCAGGGCCCGCTTTTGCATAATAAAGACTCTATTAAATAGCTCGTCAGAACATGCACCCCAGAAACAAATGCCATACCTCAAATGGGATTCTATCAGCGCAAAATATACGTTTCTTGCAGCCTGCAAACTTAAACTGTAGGTCACTGATCGTACTGCAAAACAACCCGACGCTAACTTTTTACATAATAAATTTATGTGACTTTCAAATTTTAGTCTATAATCAATAGATAATCCTAAAAATTTATTTTCATTTGTAACGTTAATAATTTCGGCTCCCATTGAAATATTTTCCATTTCACATTTAAAACAAACAATATTGGTTTTTGAAATATTAAATGTTAGATAATTAGCGTCACACCATTGTTTAATTAATTCAATGTCCCTGCTTATGATACGATGCAAGGTTTCATTATTGTTGCTGAGCCAAAGCACTGTCGAATCATCAGCAAAAATTGCAAATTGTCCCTGAATGTTAATAGTGACAATGTCAATAAAGTATATAAGGAAAAGTACTGGTCCCAGTACTGATCCCTGCGGAACTCCGCAGTAAATATGTTCTGACATTGAGGATTGATCATTTAAAGTTACCTTTTGAATTCTATTATTTAAGTAGGATTGAAACCATTTTAAAGCAATTCCTCGAAAACCATATTTTTCAAGCTTGTCTAGCAGTATTTTGTGATTCACACAATCAAAAGCCTTGGTTAAATCACAAAACACTGCTGCAGCCACCCGATCGTCATTAATTTCAAGATATAGTTTTTGCAGGAGAGAGAACATAGCATCTGTAGTGTTTTTTGCTGATTGAAAGCCAAACTGAGAATGGGAAAGTAACGAGTGCTTATTTAAAAAATCCAACATTCTTGACTTCACCAATTTTTCTATTACTTTCGCTAAGGTTGGTAGTAAAGATATGGGACGGTAATTTGCTGGATTATTATGGTCTCCCCCTTTGTGCAATGGTATGATATTCGCAACCTTTAAAGTGTCACAAAATGTACCTTCAACAAATGAGTAATTAATTGCATCAGCTAGTGAACTTAATATTGTGTCTGAAAGTTGTAACAATACTTTGGCTGATATTCCTTCCCACCCAGAAGAATTTTTTTTTTGTTATAGATTTTAAAACTTCCTTAATCTCTATGTAATGAGTGGGTATAAAATAAAAAGTGTCGGAAACATTAACGTTATTTAAGAATGATAAAGGGTCAATGAAAGATTTTATTTGTACAGCCAATTTTGGTCCAACAGAACAGTAAAATTGATTAATATCGTCTGGACTAAGATCAGTAATTACTGGTTTTAAATGTTTGCCCCTCAACTCATTAATAATTTTCCAGGTCTCTTTCTGTTTATTTCCTGAAATTGCAATTCTTCCTTCGAAATATAGTTTTTTAGCTAACTTTATTGTTCTTCTATAAACTGACCGGTATTTATTAAAGTAATTTAAGAAACTTATATTGTCTGCTCCAACATATTTTTTGATCAAATGCAAGGAGCGTATATTTTTAGCTGATGTCTTAATTCCCTTTGTCATCCAACCTTTTCTGTTTTTTATCTTTAAGTATTTTATGGGAAAGAGAAGAACTGTGCAGGGGACCCCATAAGTACAAAAAAATCATCATAATCGGTCAAGCCATTTAGGATGAGAAGAATTATGAACACACATACAAAACAGAATTTTTTGGTAATGTTGTAGTTGAAGGTTCTGGAAATGCACCTGTGTGCACCATACCTGTACCAGCTAGTTCTGTCAGTTGGAATCGGTACATAGTTGCAAGGTTATATTTAATTATTTAGAACCTTATTACCTGGTTGAAATAACTATTTTACTTTTAATCTATTTACCAATGTTTACATCCATTAAAAATCCCATAAAAATAAAAAATGTTCTAAAGATTTTTAAGTAATACGATCATTATTTTTAATGTCAATAATACCTTTCAATAGTGATAGTTACAAAATTTAAAATTAAAATCTATTAAAACTTTCTTATAAAACAAAACAGAATTGTTATTTCAAAATACAATATAAATCTTTATATTTATTTATCATACATTTTAATGTACAGAGGTTACAATTTGGTTAAAATATAAACTATGAATTAAAGCAAGCTAAAATGAAAGTGGAGATTTAGCAATGTGGCTTGTGCAAATTCAAATTCCAGAAGTCAGTGCAGAATGGTGGGAACATGGGCATTTCTAGACCCGTCAACTACAACATTACCCAGAATTTTATATAAAGATTAAATCTTGAATTAAAAAAAAAAACAGATAGTAATGTGTGTGCTCTATTTTAACAAATGTAGATAGTGACTCAAATCGTTTTTATAGAGAATAGAAAATTGATAGCAATATATATCTGAAACTTCCTATTGGGGTATTATAAATCATGTAAATGACCTTTTTCTAAATAATGAGTTAACATACCTTTTGGTAACACATCAATTAGGGATTTATATACTTCTAAATCTTTGTGAACTCCAAACTCTTCCATATTCTTTAAAGCTGAATAAATAAATTCTACATGTCCTCTTCGATACACATGATCCCTGTTAATAAATATTTTAACCATTTCTAGATATGTATTCTTATTTTTATTCTCAATATTTTCAAAAGAATCCTTATGCACTAACGCTTTGGTATCTTTCTTATTTTCTTCATACCTTTCTGTCGAAATTTGAATACTTCTAACAAAATTATGTTTAACTGAACACTGTTTTGATTTATAAAATACTGATCCATATCGCAACAATTTTTTAAGGAACATTTCGAATTAATTAATATTTTTATTAAACAGTTAACATTTTAAAAAAAATTTAAATTACTCTCTTAACCTCACTTTCAGTAATCATTTACCATTAACCTAAGATTTACTTCTTTTATTAATGACAGTTGACTTGTATGGATTTGATAGCGTCTCTCGAAAAAAAACTAAACAGGAACGAGGTATTCAGTCACCAATACATAATTTTTTTGTGGTGTGTGGTTTCGCTTTAAAAATATTTAAAACTATAAAAATACTAGTTTGCCTAACTCTTACTTATGGCTAGTTCTATACTATACAGTTGTATGCCACTAAAAGTTTGCGATTCAAAATGTTCCATTGGAAATCAAAGGTTTGCACATGTTTTGCACCTTTCAGTACCTACCTATACTTAAAAAAAAACAATACGTGTGGTATTCGAGGACTGCCGCGGTAAAGCTATTGCATAACATTTTTTATCAACTTATGCAATTATAATTATTTATTTTATTTATGCAGTATTTTTTTTCTTTGATATTAATTCAAGTTACACTTTTTGAGCGTGGTGACCGATAAGAAAACAATTTTTTTCTTTTATTGAATAAATGAGAAGTTAATATTGTTTAAAATATTTTTATTATCTTACAATACATGTAGGTTATTCATAAATTTTTATCATTGAAACTATAGGTTTATGGTAACTGAAATAAGAAACATAAGTTTGAGACTTGATGTCCTCTAAATATCTGGGAAATACCGCGTCAATGGTGGTCCCATATTTTGTTGTGGATTCTTGTGAATCATTATTCATTTTCAAATTCAATTTTTCCGAAATTGTGTCTAAAAGAGATAGATTATGAGCAGTTAGCAGCTAGTCTACACGCATACGTCTAGTCGCACGCACACAAAACACTGTGCCGAAGTTTGCCAAACTGAAACGACGTTAGACGATGAACGGCTTTCAACGCCGCACCGCTGTGCCGGTCAGAGTGGAGGGTGTTAGGTTTATTTTCGTTATGGAATTTCTTTTTCGATTTTTAGCAATTATTTCTCGTCATAGAACACATCCTCTTTTTTTCCTTTACCCAGCTTGCGCAAATAAAGGTTCGGGATCTCTCTTTAGCAGTCAACAACACAAGCAAATCTACATCTTCTCCAATAACGAATACGGAGGAAAAAGAGGGAACAAGTTCGATGGCAGTCTTCACAATTAATGAATCCGCGTCTTCAATCGCCTGCTTAACATTGTAATTATGTGCTTCCAACTTTTTTTGCAGCAATGTGATGAGGCGCATTTTGTTGAAGCTGTTCGATAAAAATTTTTCTTACGATACAGTTGGAATCATGGATTCATTGAATAGTATATCAGTGCTGCAGTGTTGCTTCGAGCGGCGGTTTCTTTCAGAAGGTATCTGCCTCTTTTAGCCGTTATACATTGAAAAAATGCAAATTTTATCCACAATTTACTATATAGCACGGAAAAGAATATATTACATACTCCTAAATAATAATAAATATTAAGTTGAGGCCGAACAAGGGGCACGTATGCTATACCACAAACAGGATATTCATGACAATGCACAAAAATAATAAATTTGGCGCCTAGATCAACAATAATAATGAAATATTGACTGTAGATTCTGATAATTACAAAATCTTTATATCAGAGTATGTAGGGGCTCGCTTCAAAACATCATAGCAATTATTATATACGACTAAATGTATAAAATCGGGAATCTGCAGACTCAAAAATTATTACTGTTTTAGAAAAAAAATATTACATAATTATTTCGTAGCGATCTTCGTCTTAATCCGCGCTGAAATTATCATTTTGTTGAACATTGAAATCAACTCCCTACTTTGGCGCGTCGTAGAGAGGGAACTATTAGTCGCAGACAAAAAATGTAGAGTTCAAAATTGTGCACGATTTTGTCCTGTACATATTTCATTTGAACCTTTTTTCGATAGCACTTACCACAACGGCGCTATTTTCCGAAAAGCGTCGCGACGCAGAGTTGTCATCCCTCCGCCCCTCGAGCGGCAACCCCCCGAGGTCGCAAACTTAGGTGTAGTATCAGCGGACCCATGTCTACCATAGGGTTTCCGATCTCGGCAAGAAAGATCGATTCTTAGTATCGATCCAAATGGTGGAGCCAAAGATCGATACAAGAAAAATCGGGAGGAAAAAATATCGATCTCGTAAAGATCAAAGATCGATTCTTTTTATGTAAAATATAAAATTAAATTTAATTAATAAAAAATAGACAAAAAATTTAATCTTTATTTTAAATATAAACATTGTTTGGAACTTAAAATTGTTAATATTCAAATTCTAAGATTTAAAACTATTCAAAAATACGAGTTTATTTGACATTTTTCCACTTTTTTCTATCAGGAGTAATCAGATTTCCTGTTCGAAAAAATAGTCTCTCGGATGGAATTGATGTTCCTAATTGTGGATTCCACCGTTGTGTTAAACGGAGAATAAAATGACATTGTTAATGTAAAAATGTCATTTTAAACTTCGTTTAAGACAACGGTGGAATCGGTCCTTACACACATAAAGACTTTTGAGCAACTTTGTTTAAATTGTTGAAAAGAATTTGACTATCTATGCCAATATTTAATAGGATCTGTTGTCTTCAGATTCGAAAGAGGTTCATTCAGGTAACATTTACGCTTTACGAGAATACTCAAATATCCACAAAACACTCTCACATTACTCAAAACGGCGATAACGATAAGTGAATTTATTCTTTTGACGTTTATGGTAACCACAAAATACTCGAAAAGTACATGTAAGAGGTGGGCTAGAATCGATCTCCGATCTCAGTACTTTCCATCGATATATAGGGTGTTAAAAAAAAAGTGTCACGAAATGAAATGGTGAATAGTATGACCCAAAATAAGCAGAAAAGTCTTAATAAATGTATGACCGCAAATTAACGGTTTCGGAGATACGGACCATTTTGTGTTTATAACAATTTTTGGTGCAATCTTCCAAACACACGAACTGAAGGGATGTGGCGATTAGGGAAAGCGTCGATATACTGACGTAGCGCTTCCCTCGCATTGCCATTTGCACGACCGTACATAAAATGCATGTCAGCTAATTCAATATTAGTGTAAACAGGCATAACGAAAATTTATAAAATTATTCACCCACAACAAAATAATAACTGCAAATAGTATCTATGAAAAAACATCGGTAGACTCCGATAAGAAAAGCAAGTTTTTGAGAATGAAAAAAGATAATCAAAAAATGATACAAAACACTCCGTATCTCTGAAACCATTCATTTGCGGACATATGTTTATTAAGACTTTTCTGCATATTTTGGTCCATACTACCCCCCGTTTTATTTTGTGACACTTTTTTTTTAACACCCTGTATAGATCGATCTCTATTTTGAAAAATCGATCCTAAAAAATCGAAATCGTGAAACAAAAGATCGATTCTCGATAAGATCGTATCGAGATCGGAAACCCTAGTCTACCATCCTACCAAATTTCATTTCTTTCCGACCTTATTCTTTACCCACCGCTTGGACTATAAATACAGAAGCATCGATTTTACAAACGGGTAATGCCACAAAGCACATATAGGTTCCACGTGAATGACCAAGGTCAAAACCGACAACTGACATTTTTTATGCTATTTGCTCCAAACTCTAGATGGGGCTACTGGTGAAATTATGATTTCTTACTCCATTTTTAAGCCTTATGGGAGAAAAACTTAACCAAAGACTCCAAAGATGTGACGTGTATTTATTTATGTTCTTGGTTAGTTTCATTTTTCCGTCTGATTTTAGTGATTTTTTGTTGGCTTTGGCTTTTGGTTTCTGTTTATAGTTTCGTCTTAGTTATTTGCAAAATTGTGATGTTTCGCTTTTTTATTTCCTACTGTGTTTTGCAATAATTTTGGTGCTATGTTGAAAACTTCGAGAAAAACTTCTTTGATTCACCATATATTCACCATGCATCTGCATCATAAAAAGACAAACGGGGACAACAACTAATTGATAATCAATTTATTACTGGACTAGATTCCGAAATCTGTATCACCATCTGTATTTGGAAGGAAAATACCTATTTATCATTGAATGAATAGTTAAAAGGATTCACCTTTTAATACAATACCTATATTACATTTGTCCTCAGTTAAAAAGACATTTATAAAATATATAACTTTAGTGTTAATAAAATGTAATATCCTAGTCTCTACTTCACATTTACATTATTGATAGGTATTTTAAAGATTTGAGATTATATATCTATTTGCTCCAAGTAAGTATTCGTTAAATATGTATTATTATTTGTATTTATTTTTATCTAATAATATTTATTTAATTTATTAATAAACATATTTTAAGAATGTTCTATTTTATTATTTATTGATATATATATTTATTTAATAAAAATATGCAGAACCAACTCTCCACATTAGACCCCTTATAACAAATTAATTCTTCAAATTTGGTATAATCGACCTAAATTATTTTGTAAAATAAAAGTTTCGAACTTACTAGTTCCATACTTTATTTTATAAAATAATTTATGTGGAAATCATTTAAAATTTAATTTAAAACTACTACCTACTCCTAAAAATTACAATTTGAATTTACCGCCATCTGTCAATTGTCATTTTAGTTCCAGCTCCAAACACAAGGTGGCGCTAATTTGGTTTAAAAGTTTAACATTGGCGTGGGGTCTCTAGAAGATACATGCTTTGTGGGTAATGCAGGCAGGATATTTAGGCGTATTCTTTTATTCAGCGCTGTATATCCAGCGCTTGCAGCAAACCGTTCGTAAATTAAGCGATGGAAAGACAATTGTATGTTCAATCGTTCTTTTTTTCGAGCAGTGAGTTCACCAATGAGCCAACGCATCCATCGGCTTTTAAAGCCGATGGATATGTGATAGATGAGTGGAGGGGGTAGTTAATTAATTTGTTTGAACGTGTAAACATGATTATTTACATAAAAGTTAATCTACAATATAAGAGTTTAAATATAGAACGGCTGTAGAAAAGATAAATTACTGTTAATTTAAATGGGCCCGTTCACTTTCATTTTTGAATGTGAATTATTTATATATTTATAAAGATATTAAACTCTTTTGTCTGGTGGTACTTTTCCCGTTAAGATATTTTTGCTAGAAGTAAGGGAATTCCCATAAAATTCTTTCAGTGACTCATTGCGTCAGAAAACCCCTAATTCCCTTCAGGTCTTGTATCGGTTAATAGTTAAAAGGGCGCGGTTGTCGGATGTATCATTGCACCACCATTCCTCTTCTGCATTTATTAAAGAAATTTAAATGATAAAAAAATATTATTTTTTAAAAATAATGTGTTTATATTTTCAGATAAAGCTGGAAGGCTTACCTTTTTTAAATTTTAATAAAAACAATTAGTAGGTATTACTCAAGCTGAATATTACCAGATCGAAATTTTATTTGAGAAAATGTATCTGGTAAACGTGACAACGTTGTAAGTACTTCTAAATAGTGTTGTCTACACACACTTCTAGAAATAAATGCAACGTGGCCACGTTTACCAGATACATATTGCAAATCAAATTTCTACTTTTTGATTATGGTCTGGTTAATTTTCAGCCTGAGTAATAATAATTGTTTTAATTAAAAAGTAAAAAATAAGCTCCCAGCTTTAAATCTGAAAATATAAGTTCATGATTTTTAGAAAAATAATGGAATTTTACTATTTAAATTACATATAAATGCAGAAATGCTATATTAGGGATACTTCCGACAACCTCGCCGTCTTTCAGCATAACCGATACGAGACGTGAACGGAATTAGAGATTTTCTGACGCAATGAGTCACTGAAAGAATTTTATGGGAATTCCCTTACTTCTAACAAAAATATCTTTACGGGAAAAGTACCACCAGACAAAAGAGTTTAATATCTTTATAAATATATAATCAATTCACATTCAAAAATGAAAGTGAACGGGCCCATTAAAATAGGTTTTATTTTTAAAGCGATGTCAGACGTCAAAATTTTCATTTGAGAAATGTCATTCGTTCTCATTTTCAGCGCAAATACCTTCCACCAGAAATTAATCAGTGACGTCATGATATCAATCACTGCAGGATAGCTATTCACTAAGTCATGGGAGCGCTCCCATATATTTTGCTCCCTTACTCTTAGGTGGGTATATCGTGCTTACTCATTTTTAGCCCAGGTACATGCGTAGTAAGGTCAGATTTTATACTATGGGAGGGAGAATTGCGGGCTTGCCAGATTAGGTCCGTATTTATCACAAAGCAAATTTGAACTACTAACGGTCGATTCCACCGTTGAGTTAAACGGAGATTAAAATGACATTGTTAATGTAAAAATGTCATTTTAAACTTCGTTTAACACAACGGTGGATCGGTCCTTAAATAGTAGATCAAAGTTATTCTGTCGACTTGGCAACGTTGGCATGGGAGTGCTCCCATGAGTTAGAGAATAGGTATCCTGGTAGGATTGTTGAATAAAAGAACACACCTTTATAAACAGGTTGTAACAAAAACGTAGGTGCTCTATACACCAGTAGCCACAAAAAAGTTATAGCCTTCTGATGTTACAAATTGAAATTTGTTTTATCCAATAACTCTTATTCAATGTTATGAGAATAGCATTTGGCCTTCTTAAAAAGCAACTTGGCAAAAAATGCACCCTTAACATTTTTATGAGGGTTGTGATCTTTTATACATATAGCATGCATAAGAAATGGATTATTCTTGTGCCACCATTGGTGCCTTAGTACTTTTTAAAAGTTTATGCAACAGGAGTGGATATGGACAATCCACTCCACAGTATATTTGTTCTACGATCCACTAACGAAAATCTACAAATTTAAAAAATTATTTTAGGTTATTAAGACACAATAACTGATTTTAAAATAATTTATGAATTTTACTGATTTTTAAAATAAAATAAACATTTAATTATTAGTACCCAGCCCAGATTCGAACCCCGGCTTATCACGCAAGCAGACACTGTCCTCGTCTCCACCGCCACTTTTATGAATTTAGTTTTAATATTCGTGATTAAATTAGTTTCATATAGTTTGATTAAAATTTAATTTATTTTTCAAAATGTGGACTAAACAAAAATGCTATTATTTATCGAGTCTACACAAAAATAACTCATACTGACAATTAGTTTGACAAAATTGTAACTTATTTAAAATTTTAAAAATGGTTGGGTGTTCAAAATATATATATTCGTTCACTTGAACACAATAGCATACTATTTCGTTTTGTAGTCTATGCGTAGATAAGCTAATATCCATATGGGTGTAGAAAATAAATATTTTTATATCTAGATGATGTAATTTGTTAATTTGTTTTTTTTTTAAGATAAATCAAACAAATAATAAATTAAAGTGATTTTAATTCATCAAATAATATAAAATACAATGTTTAACTTAAACATATTTAAATAAATTTACCATCTACCACCGAAATTCCCAGGTCTATTAAAGTCGGGAGCTGGCAACCTCTGAAAATTCCTTTGATCATCTGGGCCTGGCCTTTGCGGACCCCCTCTTGGCAACGAATCTGTTCCAAAAGGAGGCCCTTTTCTGTTTCCAAAATTACCTGGACCTTTAGGATCCATCGCACCTGGTCCTGATCCCATTCCTAAACCAGGACCAGAACCTGCCATTCTGGACACATTCTTTTCTAAGAGACTGGGTGGTCCTTTAGCTATATGCCCAGATCCAAAACCTCGGTCAGTTTGTCCAAATGATCTATCAGGTCCATTATATCCTCTATCGGGGCCACCAAAACCTCTATCGGGGCCACCAAAACCCCTATCGGGGCCACCAAAACCCCTATCGGGGCCACCAAAACCCCTATCGGGGCCACCAAAACCCCTATCAGAAGCTCCAAAACCACCATATTTATCATTACCTCCTGGACCTCCCAACCTTTCAGATCCTATAGGACCAAATCTTTCTGAACCTCCAGCAGATCCTACCGGACCAAATCTGTCTGGCCCCCCAGAAGATCCTACCGGCCCAAATCTATCTGGACCTCCAGCAGATCCTACCGGACCAAATCTATCTGGACCTCCAGAACCGAACCTATCTGGCACTCCTATATCAAATCTGTCTGGCCCTCCTGCACCAAATCTGTCTGGCCCTCCTGCACCAAATCTGTCTGGCCCACTTATCCCAAATCTATCTGGCCCTCCTGCATCAAACCTGTCTTGTCCTCCTGTACCAAACCTGTCTGGTCCACCTGTGCCGAATCTGTCTGGTCCTCTGTTACTAAATCTGTCAGGCCCTCCTATACCAGATCTATCTGGTCCTCCTATACCAAATCTATCTGGCCCTCCCATACCAAATCTATCTGGAGCACCAGGACCAAATCTATCTGGAGCACCAGGACCAAACCCATCTGGGCCACCTGGACCAAACCTATCTGGACCTGCAGATCCTCCAGGACCCCCTGGGCCAAATCTCTCAGGACCACTGAATCTAGATCTATCGAATTCGGGACCATCAAAATTCCTTCTTGAACTTGGATCAGAATCCTCAAATTGCTTGCTTCTATCTCTATCCAGTAGATTTAAGGTCATAGGTCCTTTATTAATACCTTGATCTCGAAATTCAACATTTTCTTGTAGTTTCGATTTAAGTGATGTCAGATCAAGGTTCAATTTGTTTACATTTTTTCCCAGAACTGGAGATTGGAAATCAATTTTCTTTCCATTAGAGTCTAGGTTAGACAAATCAAAGTTCATTTTGTTTACATTTTTTACTGGAGATGGGGGTTGGAAATCAATTTTCTTTTCAGTAGTGTCTGGGCTAGTCAAATTTTTAAAGTTACTTAGTATACTAGCCAAATTAGACATTCCAATATCACCAAGTTTTGTGAAGTCAACGTTTGCCATATTAGTTGGTGGATTTGAAGTTACAGACTTTGAACCTAAACCAAGCAAGTCTACACTACTGGAACTGGAATTTGTTTTGGATATGTTTGCCATCAAATTAGAAATAAGGTCTTTAGCAGTGTTTAGGTTTCCTTCAGACTTGGATTTATCATATTTCATAGTGTCCTCTAAAACCTTTTTGCTATGTTCCATTTCTTTATCTTTCACATTTTTGGAGACTGACTTGACAACGTCTTCAAAACTATATTCATCTTCGGAATCTACATGGACTTTCTTTTTAATCTTCTTTTCTTTATCTTCATTCATCTTTTCATCTTTCTCATTATCTTCATCAGAATCAAGGTCCACTAAGTCGTGATCGGGGTTTACTGGTCCAGATCTGTTTGAAAACGGACTTTCTCTACCACTATTAGCCTTATTCTTATTTCCATCAACTTCTGCATCTTCATCTGCTTCTTTATTATCATCATCCTTTGGTTTATCACCGGGTTCTAAGTTAACGAACTTTCGTAACCTTTCCACTCTTTCTGGCTCTTGATATTCCAATTTCTTAAGGTAGTTTATCAAATTGTGTTGTTCTTCAGTTGATAGATCTTTGAAGTTTTGTAAGAGTGTTTGAAGGTCAGAATCTGAGAGGTTTTCCATATTACTTGCTGAATTTTTTCCAGGGCTTGGTGTTAAAGGTTCTGTGAGTTTTTCCAAATCCACTATGTCTAATTTTTTAGAAGAACTGGGGGTTATTTTCTCTTGTGCATCTCTTTCTCCATTCCCACTACCTAATATCTGTAAGAAATTAGCTGTTGTCATTGGTTTACTTGAATTTCTGGAAGCTTCAGCCATTCCTACCTATAAAAAATTAATATGTATCATATTAATTAAAATTTTAATTTCTAATACTTACCACTGCATTTATTAATGTTTCTAACTCATCCTGAGATACATCTGTTTTTCCTTGAGCAACTAATGCATTAGCAATCTGTTTTGCAATAGCAGCCTTATCTACCACTCCAGATACTGAAACAGGAGTCATCTTCGGAAGTAACTTATCCCTTTGCCTCTTTCTTTGTCCAGCCATATGCATCAAACTTGCAATTTTTTTAATTGCCCTTTTAAACGCCCGTTCCTGCAACATATCCACAAGCCCAGCAAATAGTTGTCCTTTAAGCTTCTCTTTTACAGTTTCAAAAAGTACACAATTTATGTCATTATCTAAAAGACTTTCTGAACTATTAGCTTCGTTTTTCTCTAGGGCTAGGGCTTGTGCTAGAAGATCAATAACTTTTGGTCCCAATGAACCCAAACGTTCTTCAAGAGCTGTAAGAAGACGAAGGACGTCAACTACATTGACCTCAAGTCCATCATCATCATCATCGTCATTTGGCATATTGAAATCAACTGGTTTTCTTGTTACGTCGCGCATCATTGGAGGAGGAAAGTATGGATTCCGGTACACTGCAAGAAAAATGAAATTAAAAAAACTGTTCGTTAATGATGGGTAGCTTAGAAAAGTCCACAGACAAGTCCAACGGACTAGTCTGAAAAATTGACTTTTCCAAACACTCTTTTCAAAAGTGAAAAAGTGCATTGCGCATGCACGAAATTAAACCTCTGGTCCCTTTAAATTAAATAATTTGGCTGAATTTTTTACAAAGGCAAAATATAGTTTAAAAAGAAGAAAAGACAAATTTAACTATCTTTCTATCTGTTACCATTTAAAAAATAGCAAAAATGTAGCTATGAAATAGTAGAACCCCCATATATTAAATATTCATGCTTTTATACTTTCTTGTTTTTCTTTTTTTTATGTGGTATTTTTGTGACCCAAGTTGGTTGATTTTACATATATGCATATTTTAATTTTGTGTACGATTTAGAATAATCATTATGTAGTATGTACCTAAACTGCTGGCCACTCGAAGAGATTTTTAGTTCAATATTTTCAACAGGAATGCAAATTTTTAAACGCGACTTGCAGATTTTAAGAGCTAGTTTTATTTGGATTAAGCTGCATGACGTATATTTATCGTAGGACTATAGGTTTATTATATACGGGGTGATCAAAGAAGTCATGCAAAAAATCAAAAAGCTTGTACGAGTAAAATTTCCGCAAAAAATTTTTTTGGTCCATGCAATATGGTTTTTTACTAAGGTAACATCAATATCTCTAGACGTTTTTGTCAGTTTTTGGATTAAGGCCCTTAGGTCTTGTACACACTACTAAACATAAAATTTGGGTAGCAAAATTTTTAAAATGCTATAACTTGACATTGGAATCCTTATTTCATGTAGATTTTCTGTGGTCTACGCATTTTATTTGAGGGTTGAAATTTATACATTATAGCGGGTAGATAATAGTCACAAACGTAGCGACCAGAACAAGTTTATTACATTATATTCTACAATATAGAAGATTGGTTAACAACGGCCAAAAATTATTTCTTATAAAATTCGGCCATTGAAGTGAATGAAATTAAATCTTGTTTCGTCAGTATATAAACAATGGCTCCACTCTGCATTACCCTAATTCGCATGGGGATTTGCCCATGCCCGCCTATTCGCTCTATGGTGTTGTAATAACCGCACACATTTTGCTCATCCTATAATTTAAAATGTTTGGCATCATGTTGTTTTTGAAAAAAAAAAAATCTCACCTCAAGTTGTTTTTATTTAATGTTTTTCTCACTGTTCTGTCCGAAACGCTCACCCCAGTTTTGCCTTGACGTCATTTAGTTTTCTAGAATTTTTTGTTCTATTCTGCATAGTTTCGCTCATTAAAATTCTTTCGATTCTTTGGTTTATTTTTGCCCATAATTATGATCACTAGTAGTTTCGACGCGACGACGTCTTTCGAATGACATTGTAAATTTGCTTTTTTGATATTTCTTCATTGAGAAGTCGAATGCAATTTTCCCTTTCTGCCATGTTTAAACGCCTCATATTAATTAAAATTTACAAAATTATAACATTGTAATGTGTCAGATTATTTCTAAAATAATGTTAAGAGGTTTTAATTCCAAACAGTTTTTAATTTTCAAATTTGTTTTTCCAACGTCTACTTTGAAATTGACGCGTCGCGTAGAAATTACAACCGATCATAAATATGGGCATGGAGGTGGACAAAGAACTCTGTAAAACTGAATGACTCTTTGAGACAACAAACTGGGGTGAGAGTTTTGGACAGAACAATGAGAAGGACATTAAATAAAAACAACTTAAAGTGAGAATTTGTTTTTACAAAAACTTAAATAATGCCAAACCTAAGAGGTCGTACGCTTCGTTTTTGATCGTAGAAAATCTACGTAAAATAAGGATTTCAAATTCGCAAAAATCATCAAGAATTTAGTGTCATGTTATAGCATTTTAAAAATTTTGCTACCCAAATTTTATGTTTAGTAGTGTATACAAGGCATAAGGGCCTTAATCCAACAACTGACGAAAAAGTCTAGAGATATTGATGTTACCTTAGTAACGAACCATATTGCAACGACCAAACAATTGTTTTTTCGGAAATTTTACTCGTACAAAGTTCTGGATTTTTTGCATGACTTTATTGATCACTCCGTATATAATAAACCTATGGTCCTACGATAAATATACGTCATGCAGCTTAATCCGAAAAAAACTAGCTCTTAAAATTTGCAAGCCGCGTTCAAAAATTTGCATTCCTGTTGAAAATATTGAACTTTTAATTTTGCCTAAAAAACTCTATGGGTAAGTTCGAGTGGCCAGCAGTTTATTTGAATAAAAAAATTATTAAAAAGCTCGACTTACTTGAATAATTTCCTGACATTCTATCCCGTTTTTCCCAAGGTAAATCAGCGACAGTTCTAACTCGCTCCTTTGCTCTTATATCTCTTTCAAATGAACTTTCTCTAATGAATTCTGTGGGGCGCTTCCTATCATCTCTTCTTTCCCGAGAGACTGATCTTCGTTCTTTTGATCTCCTACTGTATGGCGATGTCCCTTTTGAGTGTGATCTGTTTCTTGACAAGGACCTGTCACTGGAATCACGATAACGATTTTTATTGGACCTTGAAAGTAGTAATTATATTATTGTTTTGTTTTAATATGTAAAACATTCGTCACGTCGGCATAGCTATATTTTAATGACAACCTGTTTGAACAGTACTAAAAAAAATTGTGACTAAGGATAATTTGACTTTCAAGTCGAAATTTCGAGTTAAACGTCGAAATTTTCGAGATTTAAAGTCGAAATTTAAAAAATATATTATGTGGCCTTTCTACACCTTCGTAGTACTTAGTACATTTTTCAAAATTGACTGAAAACACTACACTAATTAAGACACGCTACTACTGGTTGTTTTGTAAATAATCCCATACTCTTGAATTAAGTTAGGATTCTGTAATATTTCCATTGTCACATTTTTTACTGTATGTATTGCTTTAGTTGCTACTAAAGTAATCATGAATTCTACGATTCGGCAATCATTTGCCATAAAGAAAATGTTCTTGCCAGCATTTTCTCTAGCAAAACACTAAAACCATATCAGTTCAATGCAGAGATAACAGGAGATATAACCATTCATTGATAAACTATAATATTCACGATGCCAAGAATAATTCGACAGTCAATAAGATCCACTTGTTGGTCCGTGGCGAGGAGACGAAAGGTGAGACGTAAGAGAGGAGATAGAGAGAAGGATTTTACGGCGATACAATTTTTTTATCAATGAATAAATGTGTTGGCCAGTGCTGTGCACTTATAATAATCACCGTAGAAATCCAACTAATTACATCTAATTTAGTTAAATTTGATATAACTAATGATTCACAATTGTTTGAGTTCAAATGCAATTAAATAGGTTGAATTATATGGGCTTTTTTATTATTATGTAAATATTTTTGTAAACAAAACGAGAATAATGCAATAGGCATATCACAACAGCGGATATTATACCCTCCTGTGTCCCTTAGAATATGTCTTATTCACTACAGCATGATATTTTTTAGTAGTTGTTGCAGTTCAAAAAACCTAATAACCCGACACTGGCTAGTTGTCGAGCGTATCGTCAGCTAAGCATCTTAAATATAATTTTTTGTGTTGCATAATCTGCACCTCTCGCGTTTCGTCAATCGTCATCACTTCTCATCCAGCATTCCACAGATATACTTCTCGTATCGATTTTAATAACATTCAAATTAAACACAATATTCATTTAATATTAAACTAAAATACAAACAGCTGTCATTCCATTAAAGCAGTTTTTATAAATAATAAAAATAAAAGTGCCTAATTTTGTACAACAATGAAGGGTTTTTAATTCCAAACCACCCCACATCACATACAGTTTGAACCATATCCAATAATAAGAAGAGAGTTCAAACAGTAGTTACATCTCCTGTTATATCGGGTTCAATTTTAATAAATTGTAGTGCAAAAAACCACTTCTTTAAAAGATAAATAAGACATGAAAATTTAGCATCAAAACGAATTTAACTACAACTCATGTACACAAGCCGAAGTCTGTCTAATCTGAACATCTGAACTACCCACAGATGGGTCACTAATCCTTTCAATCATAAATAAGCATTTGTTTACTTTGCAAGTATTCAATTCGTGTCTTATTGTAACTTATGACCATGATGCATACTTGTACTGTTATAATACTGCAAAATAAATAGCATACTTTCTTAGAATACAACAGTTGCAACCAGAAAAGACATTAAATGATATCTGGCATTTAGAATGCAAATATACATTTGAAAGCCTTTTTTTGTTAAGTAAATTCTGAATTATAACCACAAACAATCCTTGTACATGAACTATCCAGTAATAATTTGGTAACTATGTTCAATAAAAACGTGAATTCTTGGCAATTCGCCTTTTATAAACAAAATTGGGCTAGTAGTTGTTCATCGTTGTTGCACAGAGAAAATATTTTTTTTTTAAATGTACTATATCAAAAACTAGTTAGTACTTATAGAGATACGATTTTGCTACCACTAAAAAATATAAGCTTTAGATATTTTAGTGAATGCACTCTACATAATACAAAACTGGAGATACGATTCTTTACCAAGGTACAGATTTGTAAACTAGACTTGACCAAGATGCTTGGTTGAGTGCGCCCTTGAACGAAAATACAAAAATTCGAAAATTGAAGTTCGGATAAATCAAGGGAATCTCTAAATTCCACTGCAACACTGGAACCACCACCTGGAACTCTACAGCAGTTATACCTCAACTTTGATTTTTATTTAGGGACTCAGTCGACCAATTATAACCAGTTTATAAATATGGATTTAGAATCATTGACGTCTCTTTTGTTAAATAACAAATAATTGTTAACATTTGTTTTAAAGTAATAAACAAAGATTAATTTATTTAACATCTGAGATTTAGAGTAGTTCTTTTGTCTCATTTTACGAGGTTGGAGGTTAGTGTTCTGGAATCATGGTGGTCTTTTTTGTGAAAATGGTTAAATGTAGTGTATGTATACTGTAAAATTAATAAACCGTTTATTTTTTGCAATTCCTCTCCACACCTAAAGATAAATTATTGGGTAGTTGGGCGATTCCCAACTGAGAATATTGAGATAAAAAGTACATAAAGGCCCGTGACCTTAGGTGATTTAGATTTTGTACATTATTTATGCCAATTTAAATGTCCGTCCAATTTATCAAACATTTTCGAAATTTAATTACTCCTTCATTCATTGGAATTCTTTTAAAATAAGATTTTTGTGTATTCTATGAGATTCTAAATATTATTCGGTTTTAATATCTACGTGTATATTTTAAGATTATTGAAAAAACAAAAACTGCATTAGAAGTTCCAATAAACAAAATGACATACCTTGATGTTGTTGATGTATCACTTATTGGGGAAGTATTATTGAATCTACCCCTCTCTGTGGAATGTGATTTTCTAAAAGGTCTATCTCTCGAATGGGACCTATCTCTCACTAATCTCTCTTTAGATCTGGAACGTGGTTTGACCATTCGTTTGAATCCTACATCCTTATTAGGACTTTTATAACGCTTAAATGGTGGTTTGCGGACTGGACCAAGGCCACCTTAACAAAAGACACATAATATTAAGACAATTTTCATGGGCATTCTAATGTGGTTAGGTATAAAATAGGGATTCATGACTAGCAGAATCATATTTTTAGTTATACTGTATATTAAAATACACGGGACAGCGAATCTTTACCCCAAAACATTTATTTTATGAAGTAGTACGTTGTTGTGAAGACTGATTACAATTTCAAGAAAGACATTCTTTGACCAGTAATTCTAGACATTTCTTCTAGGCATTATTTATGATAGATACTGTGTTAAAAAATTCGCCGCCCCAGCTATAACTTAACAAGTACCTTTATTCTTATCTTCAAAGGGACTTTTTGTCTTTTGTATAACTTTTTCATCATCTTTATCATCAATCACAATAACTTCATTGTCCTGATCGGGCTGAGCTGCCATCGGCATAGGCTTCGGATTAATTTGTATAGGTAATGCAAGGTCACCGCCGATTTTAAATTTGATGGGGTTAATTTCCTCAGGAAGTCCAAGGCGGTTTCTCAAAGCTTCTTTTCGTTTTCTTAATTCGTCACTGTGGATCTCGACCATCCGTTTGTTCCAGAATCCTATCCATTCCGGTTTAAAGTCGTGCTTTTGGACATCTACGCCTTCAGCTTTTAACTCCTTGTACCTGACCATAAAAATTTAATTAAAACACAATATTTATATATAAGCGCCATCTTATTGAATTTTTAAAATTATTTTTCGGGCTTTGACATATTAGTTATTTTTTTTGGGTGGCACAAAATTGATCGAAACACGTTATTTGATCGAATCGAAAATTTGATCGAAAATACATTTGATCGAATGGCATTTGGTCGAAAATACATTTGATCGAAGATATATTTTATTGAATAACATTTTGTCAAAAAGACAATATATCGAAAATCAACATTTAAAATAATAAAATTTAAAAAAAATTCAAATATCACCTTGCAACCGTCCGTATAATCCCTACTACTGGGGAAATTAAACTCCGCTGCTATCAAATTAGGTACTAATGGCAAATTTTTCTATAATTTCAAATGATAGCTACCTCGTTTAACAAATTTTACCCTTACATACTGTTAAATTAAAAATGAATATTTTAGAGCTAAACGGTTATTTATCTTCACTGAGATTAAAGCATTGTGGTTAATTGGCACAAAATATGTATTTCAATAAGGTCGAGTTGTCTCCCGATAGGACATTTTAGGTAGATTAATTAGTTTTTTTTTTTATTACTTAATTTACCTAACCTGTGCGTCCTGGAGCCGTCGAAGGTTGCTTCGTAAACAAATTATACAAAAAAGACAAAAATAAAGAAACTTAACTAATTTACCTAACCTATGCGGCCTAGAGCAATTTAATTTTAACTGATTGCTCTCGCACAATTTAGGTAAGTTAGTTAAGTTCTGTTCAATTATAAAAAATTTAATCAATTTACCTAACCTGTACGTCCTGGAACCGACGTGGTTTGCCTCGCAAAAAAAATTATAGAAAAATGAGAAAAATTAAAAAATAATCTTAATTAATTTACCTAACCTGTGCGGCCGGGAGTCATCGAGGGTTGCTTTTTAAAAAAATATATACAAAAAAAGAAAAATAAAAAAAATAACTATTCTTTAACCTGTGTGGCCTGGAACAATTTAATTTTAACTTATTGCTCTCGCACAAGTTAGGTAAGTTAGTTAAGTTTTTATAATGGAGCTTGCCTTGCAAAAAAAATGAGGAAAATAAAAAAAATAACTAATTTACCTCATATGTGCTATTTAAATTTAACTGGTTGCTCTTGCACAAATTAGGTAAGTTAGGTAAGTCAGTTAAGTTTTTATTTTTTTAATTTTATGTATATTTGTTTTTGCGAAGCAACCAGCGATGACTCTAGGCCGCACAGGTTAGGTAAATTGCTTGAGTTTTTATATTTTTTCTAATTTTATCTATATTTGGTTTTTTGATCATTGTTCTTTTCGTACATTTTTCTTTTCGGTCAATTGTTATTCGATAAAATGTTTTTTCGATCAAATGTTTTCAATCATTTTTGTGCCACCCATTTTTTTTAGTAATAAAAACCAATATTGTGGAGAAACACGTGGCTCCATGCTCTCAAAACATTTAGTTTTCATGTCTCAACCTAAACTATACACATTCTAAAATTTAAACTTATCTAAAGGTGATCATTCTGAAATTTAGTATTATTTTTAAAAATGAAGTTGTGTCACATTTAAATATATTTCAGTACAGTTCGCTTTTGTTGTAGAATAACGTTACAAGTTCCTAAATTGTATTGTTTTAATGATCTTGGGAATTGGGAATGAAGAGAATACGGAATTTGGAGCAACAAAAAAAGCTTGGATTTATCTGTATCGTGTCAATCTTGTTACTTCCGATAAAATCAATAATTATCTAAAAATCCAAGATGTCTTTAAGGGTGCTGATATCTCTATAAAGGAGCTCCCAACAAACGAAACCCAAAATAAGTGCTTCATGTTAGGTATAGATTTTGACCTCAAAGACGAAATCTATAAGTCTTCCACTTGGTCTAAATATGTTGCCTATAAAAGGTTCGACTTTAGGAAATACAATCAATATGACAGACGGAATGAGGATTTTTAAGAAATCCTCCACCTACCTCAGATGGCAACAAAAAAATCACTGATAGAGAAATTCATCGTATGACAACAAGACTCATTCAAAAAGCAAACAATACCACAAGAATATCTCAATCGGACCAGTTGCCAAATTAAAAGTTATGCACTTAAATATTCAAGGTGTCTCCACCAAGGGGCCACAGATAGAAGTCCTACTGAACTTAAACCCGGCTGATGTCGTCTGTTTCTCAGAACACTGGCTTACAAGCGATGAATTGAAACACATGAATTTGAATGAATTTATACGGGGAGGGGTATGTATGTTCGCCAAAAATTAAATTTTCTTTAAACCACTCAAGTATGACGATTGTTTAGAAAAAAAATTTGAAGTAACACTAGCTTCTCTTGATTTGACGAAGGATAGGTTACTATATATCATCACAGTCTACAGAACACCTAATACAAATACTGATATTTTTATCGATAAAATGTATGATCTGATGTGTAGAATTTACAAAACTAATTGTTGCTACATTTTATGTGGAGATTTAAACGTTAACTTCCTACTAAACAATACAGAATCAAAAAAAATAGTAAACATGTTTAAAGAATTTGACATGCACAATTACATTGACAAATCTACACGTATAAATAACAGCATTGATGCTATATTCTGAAATATAACTACTGTCTCTACTGTTGTGAGCGAAACACATCTATCAGATCATACATTTCAAATGTGTGAGTTCAAAATAGATATTGCAAAAGCAAGCATCAAACAGATGTATGGACGGGTTTATTCTGATGCAAACTTGAATACATTCAGAGATCTGCTACTGCACGAATCTTGGGAAAAACTTTACAATCCAATCACTGATATTTACAATGCTTTTCATGAGTTCTATTATATTTTTAATTTTCACTATTTAAATTCTTTTCCACTGGTAAAAATAAAAACTAAAACAAAAACAAAGCCATGGATTACCAACGAAATTAAAGAACTCCATCAAATCCTTTGTGATTTATCTAAATTAGCAAACTCAACAAACAATGAAATTATGAAAAATAGATATAAAGACTTAAAAATAATATGTAAAAATATAGTAAAGAAACAAAAATTAGAATATAACAACAATATAATCAAAACCTCTAAAAATGTCAGTAAGTGACATTATATCATATCTACTTTCACACATAATTAATAAGTCTTTTTGAATAGGCATATATCCGAATGTACTGAAAATATCAAAGTCAATTCCCATATTTAAGAATAAAGGGTCCGTAAACGAGGTTAGCAACTATAGAAATATTACTCTACAGTCGCAATTTGCTAAAATCATTGACTATAGCTACAATATGAGATTAACCAACTTTTTAGAACAGAAGGGACTAATACCCAACTGGCAACATGGCTTTAGACAAAAAGGTCAACAGAAACTGCAATAAGTGAACTCTGCAATAATGTCTATAATCACCTAAATGATAAAAAATATCCACTAGCTCTTTATTTTGATCTTAGTAAAGCATTTGACACTGTAGATCATGATCTTCTCTTAGAAAAGCTTTATCGCATAGGCGTTCGAGGTGTCACGAATGACTGGGCTGCATCCTATCTGCGAGGGAGATCTCAGATTGTAGCTATAGAAGATGCTAAATCCGCTCCCCGGCTAATAACAGAATGAGTTCCCCAGGGCTCAGTTTTAGCTCCACTATTTTTCGTCTTGTTTATGAGCGACTTAGAATACTCATGTCCAACACCTAGAGTAACTACCGTTGGTTATGCTGATGACACTAATCAACTTATTACAGAAAACAATCTGTCTGATACAGTTTCTGCCTCAAATATTAGCGCAAATGAATTCCAACATTGGTGCTCAAATAATGGCATATTGCTTAATTCTAATAAAACAGTATTTATGCTTTTCCAACCAAAAAATTCAAGCCGCGACGAAAGTCAATTAATAAAAATTGAACATAAATCTCTACACCAGGTAAGGGAGGTCAAGTTTTTAGGTCTAACAATCGATCACAAGCTCACATGGGAAAGCCACATAGATAATCTTGCATCTAAGCTATGTAGCATTTGCTTTGTCATCAGACAACTTAAACCAACTGTGACTTTGGATGAACTAAAACTAACCTACTACAGACTAGTGCATTCGGTACTTTCATATGGCTTGATTTTCTGGGGAAATTCGGCCCATATGAATAAAGTCTTTCTCTTGCATAAAGAATTATTAGATGCATGATAGGAGCCTATCCTTCGGAACATTGTCAGCAACATTTTATCAAGGCATCAATATTAACTCTTCCATGCTTGTTTATCTGTCAGTGTTACATATTAAAAAAATCTTTCACATCAAACAACTAATAATATGATACACCCCTATCCTACTCGAAGAGGTGGCGAACTTCGTACACCCTTCTCAAGATTAACAGTGGGTCAAAACTCTCCGTATTATCAAGGAACCATCTTGCTTAACCATTGTGTTATAATTTTAGGCAATATAGAAAACTTTAAAAAATTCAAATTTATGCTGTTTGTTTCTTGCAGGCAATGCCTTTTACTCTATTGATAAACTTTTAGCATATTAATTTTATAACTTAAAATATATTTTGCCTAATGTTAATTTTAACTGTCTTTTGTGTTAATTTTCTGTATATTATATATTATCTATATTATCTATTATCTTAGCTCTAGAATTTTAAACTTCTATGAATTGGACAGTGTGAATGGCGTTTTTGTTTTTCTGTTTTTTCTATGGACGTACTGTGTATGAGCTGACTAGTCTGATAAGTTTTTTTTAAACATTGTAAAAATGTAAAAATACTTTATTGACCAATAAATTCTATTCTATTCTAAGATAATTCGTCCTTTTTGACCAGGTAAAGTTATCAGACTCTAAGCAGTCTAAGGTATTGTATGAAGATTTTTTATTTATTATTCATGTTTTCCATATTAACATACACATAAAAATTAAGTAAAAAATTAAATACAAACATTCATATTTACATAGCATTTTTAAATAGTTACCTACAGTACTGTGATTGGTAAAACACAAATAAATGACGTTATGTTAAATCAAATATTCGTTAATATGTTTCTGAAAAATATTCATCAAATCTATAGAATAACATGGGAAAAATGTCAATTTACCAAGAATAAATTAATTAAATAAACATTTATGAAATATCGCCCAACATAAATAATGCAACTTTGAGAATAATAAAAAATAAAAGATAAAACAATTATAAAAAATGATTTTTGTTCAAGGAGTTAAGCCAATACTCCATTAATAACCAAATTCAAATTTATTCATTGCCATTAGTACAAATACAATACATTTCAAAACCAGAATGTGGACGATCAACTAAAGTCTGTGTGCACATGTTACATTATTTACAACATTATTGATATTCAATAAATGAACAAGATAGTGAATTAGCGATATTCATAATTATAAATATGATAACATTTTATACATTTGAGATAAATTAGGTAAAGTTATTTATATTAATATACATATATACATGGTTTGGAAACTACACTAAATAACTTAATTTGATTTTTGAGGACCTATTATACTCGATCATTCAAATTAAAAAATATACCTACCTACTCAGTAAAGCAAGTTATATTATTGTTTATAAGCCATTCCGTGATATTGTTTTATTTTAATAAAAGGTTTGTCTCTATAGTATATGGGTTAACATATTATATATTTTTGGCACTGTATATAAGAGGTTACTCTGGCATTTGGTTAATGTTATTTTAAGTATATTACTACCTTCTATTCCAGAACTTTTTCCATTCTTCATTATACTGAGGATGTTTCTCGGGGTTCTTTTCATGTTGTATCAAAGTTTTCTGTAAGTCATTCTCAATAGCTCTACCCAATTTTTTGAATTCCTCTAATTTTCTTAACTTCTCCTGTTCTTGTTCCATAACGGCATTATGCACAGGTGACTTTTGTTTCAAAATAGGCGAATTCGACCTGCGTCTAGGCGGCGAAACAACTCGACGTCTTGGTGAAGGGAATCTGCGCCTGACTGGAGATCTGCGCTTAGGTGACGGAGATCTACGCCTGAAGAATTTATTGGATTAATAAAGCCATAAATCAATCTTTAAATAACTTACCGTGCATAAGGGAGTTGTCGATCTCGCACAAATCCGCCAGGTCTACCTCTACCTCGGTCTCTAACAATAGGTCTTCGCCTACCATCGTTACTATCATCACTTTTGTCTGAAATGCTAGAAACGCTGGATAGGGATCTCCTCCTAACTTGTGGCCGAGCAGGAGGTGGCCTATCAAAAGGTGGCCTTCCTGGCTGGGCTGGTGGTATTTTACCAGGAATAGATTGTTGTCGAATTGGGGGTTGTTGTCGAATTGGAGGTTGCTGTTGAAATTGAGGGGACACCTAAGTTTTTGAAAATAAAAAAGCCTTTAAAACAATTCAAATATTTCATTAATAACCTTACATCTAAATTTATTTTATATACAGATTGTCCAAGTGAAAACGTCGAATTATAAAAATGATTTTGTCAGAGCCCTTTGAAGATGGCGCTTGGCCATTAATTTTTTACAACTTCAAAAATCCGTTAAACTTTACACATTAATTTTCAAATGTTAAATATATTACTGTAAATATTAATATTTTTTTTGTAATCATACATGCCTCATTTAGGGAGACCAACAGATCCATGAAATAAAAATTTTACTTTCTTTTTAACATGTGATTTCATTTGGTTGGAATGTTTTTGGATACTCTGTACTTTGATAATGGATTATTATATTGTGTTGTTTAAGAAATATTTAGTCTTCAAAATAATGCGTTTCTTTTACCACGATAAGTTATTTCGATGGGGAAACCACTAAGGTCAAAATGTACGCTTATTTCGGAAATCACCTAAACTTTTTTTTATGTGATTTCGGTTATTTTGCTAAAAATGTTTCTTAATTTTATACGATGGATATATATTGGGCTATTTTGATTCACAGTTGAATTTACATTTTTGAGCGACAAATTGAATTCGAAGTGATTTTGGAAATTTCGAGAAAATTTGTAGTGATTTTGAGTGAAAACATACCAGTATAAAAAATCTACTTGTCGAGAAATTAAGATTACCATTTACAAAATCTTAGATCAGATATACAGGGTATTGATGAATTAAAAATCCATGAAAATTGTTCAAGTATTATTTGAAGCAAAATGTTGACAAAAGAAAATTGGTTCTAATTCAAAATAAAGCCTGAATTCAAATTGCAGTATTTATCTAAAAAACAAGATAGATGATGTATTAAACGTTTTTTGATTTGAAAATTTGTATTTTGGGCTTTATTTTGAACTAGAAACAACTTGTCTTTAATAAAAATTTTGCTATGAATAATAAATACCTACTTTTCTCATGAAACCTTTTCATGTTTTCTGAATTTTTAATTTATTAACACCCTGTACATCTGACCTAACATTTTTATATGGTAATTAAATTTTTTCAAAAAGCAGATTTTTTATAAAGAACGACTTTTCTTCGTAAAATTAAGTTTCAAAAAAAACATGAGAAATGGAAAATAAATAGGGTTTGATTAATAAACATATACAGGGTAGGGTGTTTCAGAATAAAGTACCGTAAACTGGGAGACTTGTAAACCTTAACTAAATATTAAGAAGAACTAAATATAATTTTTCTGTATATGTCCAAGTTTTCATTTTACAGGGAGATAAAATGTATTTCATAAGAGTTCAAGAAGTCCTTGATTTAAGTGTTGTCTTTGATAGTAATCTTTCTTTTATTATTCATATAAACGCAGGTCATTTCAAAATCACTACAGTTGCTTAGTTTTATTAATAGAAACTCTAAACTCTATTGGAGCATGTAGATCATTATTTTTAGCCTAATGCACCTGTTGTTTGGTCTCCTGGTTATTCTGTGCATATCCAAAGATTTGAAACTGTTGAAAATCGGATTCTGAGAACTTGTGCTCAGAGAATGGGATACTCACAGGGTACCTATGACCACGAAACAATTGTAAAACCTTTAAACCTAGAATGTTTATTTATAAGATGTATTAATTAATGATCTTTTATTTTTTCATAAAGCGTTATCGGGTAAAATAAATTGTAACAATATATTATAACAATATATTATATCGTCTTTGCCATTAGATTTGTTTGAGCTTCCACAGCATAGAACAAACTACGGTTATTTTAACCCTTTATCTAGAGTTATGCGCCTTTGTAATAATTAAAACTGTGACATAATGGGAACCTGTTACGGCTTATATCAATAACATTGTAAATTATTCAAGAATGGCTTCTAGTACCTACCACTCAAATTCAAACTAACAGATCGGAGATCGTGTCAAAACACAAAAGCAACTACAGGCGATTACATTTGATCTGTGTGTAAAACGACAACTCATCGATAACTGAGGATCATTGCCAATCACAGACAAATAGGCCCTCCACATAATGGTACTCGTCTGTAATCGCTCATGATGGCCGATCGTGTGTAGGAACCATAACAATAAATGTAAGAAACTGCTCTGTCTGTCACGCCCTAGAGCTGCGGGTTTATTTTAATTATTTTATTTTTTCGTCATTTTAGTTAGGTTAGTTAAGTAAAATATGCCCCGTTAAATAAATAAATAATATTCTAAATATCTTCCCTTGCGGTAAAGATTTTAATTTAAAAATGTGTAAATGTTAGTTAATTGCCACTATTAGTAAACACACTCTATTTCGATAAATTACGATAACCCACGCAATTTTTCACAAAAATGGACTATCGGTTGATTCCATTTCCGAGATTTTTCAGTTTTAGCCCTACTCGCATATGAAAACTAAGTACATTATGAAATTCCAAAAATGCAATTTTTTATTAGGAGCCGATTTCATAAACAATATTAAAAGATCCATTAACTAATGGCACCAAGTTGTTATAGACTTACAGCCGGTTGCAAGAACGATTGTTAAAATCTCTCGTTAGCTAATGAACTCATAACTTTATTCACTCCCTAAATTATTTTCTGAATGGTAAATTTGGCAACGGCGCTTTTCCAAGTGACAGTATGAAGTAAAGTGTGTCGATATACGAGTTTTCTCTGTCTTTGTCGTCCCATTTAAGAGAATACTCGACAGGTGAATACGAAAGAGGGAAAGCCCACACACGCGACATGTCGCACGCGACTGATCGCGCGCGGCAATACTTTTGATGTTTTTAAATGACTCAAAGCCCATTAACGCGGTTCTGTCGCATGGTCATTTAAAAACATCAAAAGTATTGCCGCGCGCCATCAGTCGCGCGCGACATGTCGCGTGAGTGGGCTTTTCCTCTAAATGGGCTTTGAGTCATTTAAAAACATCAAAAGTATTGCCGCGCGCGATCAGTCGCGTGAGTGGGCTTTTCCTCAAAGATATGTTTGTGTAATGAGCTCAAAATTTGTCATAAGGAATGTCGCTTCGCATTACAATACCTGCAAAGAAAGTCAAACAGCAAGAGTCGAAAGCATCGAGACTAGACGAACTTTTAACATGAGAATTGTTTACAAAATATACTTATTTGAAAGTACGTAAAGAAAACGAATTTTAAGATTTGGAATGTGGATTTTACGATGGAAAACAAAGGATTATTCACATATAGTAAGTAGTTTAATTATAAGAAATAATGTTTCTTTATTTACAAATAATATTTTCTTGTAGCCAAACCTAATATGCAGTGATAGGAATTTATTAATAATGCAAATGAAAATAACAAATTTTGGGAAACGAAAAGGAACAACATAACAGAATATAAAATAAAATTAATTAGGTACCCTGTTCTATAATCTAAATTAATAACAAAAACGTACACTAAAAAGTCACATGGATTTCTTTAAATTCTAATGATTAACTACATTGTTACATTATGTCTGATGGTGTCCCCAACAGGGCCGAAAACGCTTGTGAATATCATTTTTTGAAAAATTCTATTTATAAAAGCTAAAATTCCTGAGCAACATTAATTTTCATGAACTATTTAGATATTAAATTATAAGGGCTTGAATGTGGTCAATTTCATGAACAAAAATAAAAAATATAGGTAAGTACTAAAAGTCAATACAACAAAATGTTTTTCACTGTTTAAAATGTTTCGGTTTCTGCCCAAGCGGTTTCTTCAGGACTGAATGCAGCTATTATGTATGAAATTTTTTTTATTAAAAAGAGGACAAAGGTATCCACACCTAAGTGTGATGTCTTCAAGATGAGGCAAAGGGCGGATTGCCAGAGGAGGGGATAAGTTTTATTGTATAAGTCGAGTATGATAGGTATATTACTGGTTGTTAGAGGTGTATTTAGGCTGGTTATATTTAACTTTATCAAGAAAGGGATGGAACAAATATCTAAGTGTCTTCTGAATAGGAAGAAAACGATAAGGTAATAACTAAGAATGAGGTACCTGTGAAAGAGGTGAGAAACAAAAATCACCCTCCGTAAACCAGCTGAGTTTTTGTATCCCAAGAAACTAAATTAATATCAGTTGGCTAAAAGTAACATTAATAACTTCAATAGTAACCCTAAAATACTGTCACTAAGATATTTAATAGAACTAATAGGTACTTAAGGATCTTAAGATGTCATAAAAGTTACTAAAGATCGGCTATTTTCAGTATTACATTTCTTGTTCTACTATATTATGTGAATTACGGATATTGTTTAAGGCTTGTTTGTTACTATTCTAAAAAGCAAAATGCTGTTCCAGATTTACCTAAAAACAGCTCCCTGTATATCCTTTTTTATACTTTTGTCACAATATGTAGACCATTTTCAAAATTCTGTGTATAATTTTTTTCTCAGCATTTATTTCTTTTCTAAGTTGGACATTTTAACAAAACCTAGCTAACTTTAAAAAATATTTTTAGGATATGCAAGAAGTATAATTAGTTATGGCCTAAAAATTATTGTATTTATATTTACTTATTGGACCTTCAAGTAATGAGTTGTTATAGAGATTCGTTAGTTATGGAAATACATAAAATATTTATTGGACCACTAACTAAAGGCTTGTTAATATCCCATTAAAAAAACAGTTGAATAAATATTGTGGGCATCTGCCATCTTTTAAAAATTATAATCGAAGTTCTTTTTATTCATATACATTAATATTTATACATATACGCATTTTTATACAATATTTTATATATTTTGTATTTAATATTAAGGTTCATCGATAACATAATATGCATGTTATTACATCTATGGTAGGCAGGTAACAAAGTAGATTTTGTAGAAAGCATTATAAAAAAATGTATCCTAATTTTAAGAACTAAATTCATTGATTTTCTAAAGCAAATTATTGTTACCCTTATATTTTATGCAACTAGATTATTTTAACAAAAAATTTAATAAACATTCTTAAAGTCTAGGTAGGTACCGTGGGC